CGCAGCATTAAATTGTGTTTTATTATTATGACAGGATGAAACACAACATAAAACAACCAACTGAGCAACCGCAACCAGCGTATCTCGTTGCCTTCTAAAATTTAAATACCGTCGGGAGTTATCTAGCAACGGTTAGCACAACTAGTGATATACGAAGCAAAATAAATTAACTCGAAAAAATTCCACAACATGAGGACAAATAAAACAGTTGAAGATTATGTGGAAATTTCCTCCGTCGAACTGACCGAAAATGAGCTTCAACCTTATCAGTGCAATATTTACTCGGAAGGCATTTTTGTAAAAGTTAGCGTAAGACTTCAAATCGTAGGGTACCAGCACTCCTAAATCATTTTCAACTTCAGATGCTTCTGGAGAAGAACTCCCTAAGTTGTAACTATAGTCCGCAACATGTCTGAGATGAACTACTTTACACTTTGAAGTAATAAAGGCAAGTCCGTCATCATCTGCCCAACTTTGAAGTCGAGTCAGATCCTCCTGAACTGCCAGTTTATCCTTTTGGTTGCGCACCTCTCTCTCCAAAGTTTCACATCGTCAGCAAAAAGTAATAAGTCAGACGATACCTGCTATGGAAGATCGTTCGCATAAATCAAGGAAGGAGAGGCTCTCAAACGTAACCGTGGGGGACCACACTATGACATTCCATAGCCTGAGAAAAGGTGAACTCAACCTTAACCTTAAAATGTCGATTTTTTAGATATGAAGTGAATCAATCAATTAAAGATGGTTTGACACCTAATCGATTGAGCTTATTGGTAAAATAAATATGGTTGACCCTATCAAAAGTTTTTGAGAAGTCAGATTGAGGTCCTCAAGAATCAGGATATGAGTGAATCCGAGACGATTAAAGCGGGATAATCCTGGTATCATGCTGTCTGTCCTTATGTATATGCATTCCACTTGGTAGCTGGAGTCTAAATGAGAACACCTGTAAAATGCACTCAAATTCCCGGTAATATTCGAGAAATGTACCTGTTCTAAATCTCAGTTATGTAAATGAATGAATCTTGCTTCGAAACCTTTTACTTTGTGTTTTATTGAATAGCAGCAAATGTCTATCATTTTGAGCGGTACATAGTTATTGTCGTGGTTGATTGTTCGAAAGGCGTGCCCATTTGTTCGATTACCATCAGAGTGTGGGCTGACACACAATGGCAGACACTAGACCAGCTGAAAAAGATGAACAGCAGAAACAAAACACGCCACGCAAGGTGATGGAAGAGCGTGTCAAAGGCGTGGTTAAGTGGTTCAATGTGAAGGCTGGATATGGCTTCATCAACCGTCAGGACACATCCACGGACATATTTGTGCACCAATCGGCGATTTCACGTAACAATCCAGAAAAGCTTCAGCGTTCACTCCAGGAGGGGGAAGAGGTGGAGTTTTATGTTGTTGAGGGAGACAAGGGCGACGAAGCATCCGAAGTGACAGGCCCTGGGGGTGAACCTGTCAAGGTAAACTGAGTTGAGTGTCTATTCTGTTTTAGGGCAGTGTGTACGCAGCTTTGCGTGGACGTGGACGCAGCCCGCGAGTGTTTAACATGCGTGGGAGAGGTCGTGGGATGGGGCCTGGTGGATTCTCTAGTAATCAAGACTTTGTGCCTTACTACGGTCCTCGGGGTCGAGGCCGCGGCCGTGGTGGCTCAGAAATGGTAAGTCGGCGAAGCCAAGCATCTGGTTTATAGTAAGTTCATGTGGGTGCCAGTCGTCGATTTACAAACTCAACCCCATGATGTTCACATTCACGATTCCTGCCTATTTTATTCATGCCAAATCCTGATCATCAGCCCACATTCCATACTCAGGTCAACATTGTGTCTTCGTCTTAACGATATCGACCATTAATGATCCGGCACTATTCATTTAAGTACAAACTTAGCCCTTAATATAGACTACCAGAGTATGATTTAAAATCAGCTACGATAAGATTTATTTACCTTCACATGTGATTGTTTTTCAATATATCGACTCGCTTTCCAATTATTGATTTAACTTTCTTTTCGACTTCAGTACGGTGGTGGTTACGAATTTATGGATCGTGGTGGGAGAGGCCGCGGGTTCCGTGGACGTGGAAGGCCTCGTGGTCGTGGGTTTAGAGGATCTGGTGGGTTCGAATCTCGAGGTCGCGGTGGTCCTCGTGGAGGAAGAGACAATTATCATAACGAGGATGGTAAGTTGTCACCCTGTTTCAGTTTATTTGTCCTATCGATACCCTGAGTTGTATGCGTTCCGCTTCTGGACCAACTCCGAACATTCAGACGTTCTACAATTAAATTGTATAGCAAGCTAGAAACTAGGTGACAAGATTATTGTTTATGTGATGTCGGCCACTTCGTTCACTTGCCACTAAGACTTGCATTAGTCTGATGTACGGCCATAATGTGCTTTCGTTTCTGTAATATAATGAGTATTTTCTAGGTAATGCTACTTGTGATTTTGTGCTAATGCTTTATCCCTGATCATGTTTCTCACTCATTTTAGGCTCACCGGATATGCGAGACGCTTAAAATCCTCTGATCAAATACTGAGAAATGTCATTTTAGAAATCTATGTATTCTGTCAGCATTCATATATGCATGTCTACGTTTCAACTCAATTGTTTAATCATCCAACTTGCAGCACATTGGATTGTCACTTGTCTTTATGGTATTTCGGATGTACACCAACTTTTTCCCTTCCTCAGTTTCGACGTCTAACTGGTCAAACTTGAGTGTCTCCAATTTTTGAATCCAGAGTTCATGTGGGTATATTCAACATGTTTCATTCGATCTTACAGCCTTAGCTTTCTGCGCTTTTCGATGCATTTCTTGCCTATCAGGGCTTTCCATCTGAACTTGATTACTTTTCTACTGTTTCATATCTACTTACTTCCGTCTGCCAATTGCTTGAAGGCTCAGACCATTTGAAAAAGTCAGAGATCTGACTCGTCAGCCATTGGTGACTATACTTTCCTGTAGAATGTGCATTCTTCTGTCATCTTGTGTGGATATCTGGTGCTGTATGGTTTGACTTTTTCGTAATCAAATATGCATTTTGATACTTGATAAAATTTCTTTAGAGTAATAATTTGCATTCTGTCTCTCGTGAAAGGCTTGGGCATGTGTCTTGTGTGCGACATTTCTATCTCGATCTCTGGCAAACGCAAAGTTTAGTTCATCAGTAAGATTGAGTCGTAGTTACAAAATGCTATTCACCTCTAGCTCCGATATGTGGGGTCTATTGCGTCTCAGTTTGACTTCAATTGGATCAGCCTAAAAAATGGCGTGTTCACGCTGGACATAGCTATGTTGTGCGGGGTCAGCTGTGTAGTCAGGGGTTCCACTAGTTGTCCTGAATGTTTCTTGGCAGATGTCCAATGAGGTAGCCTGACTGAACAGTTGCCGATGTACTGGGAGCGTCTTCGTACGAGCTGTCATCTTGTGATGCGCGAAGAACGGCTGCGTCGTGTAAGGTCCAGTGTTCGGCGCAATGGTATTGACTACCACATATCGGGCTCATCTAGTGTTATTTTTAGTGTAGTAGCAACATTTGCAGTCGATGGATCCCAAACTGTCATAGACTGACTTCTACGGTCACGTGTTCGTGGTTGCGAAGTCATAGTTCGAGCGATAAGAAGTCGTTTGCACATGTTGAATTGCGTGATATTCTGGCGAAGTATTTGTGCCTCATCTCTTTGCAGATGATATGTGGTCTGTCGACGTTCAGTGGTATAGGAGTAGGTTATTAGAAAGCTAGGGGCGGCCAGACCAAAACATGGCACATATCCATGAAGTCACTGACAAGTGGGCTAAGTCATGTTAGGTGTAAATGACCTGGTTGGAGACCCTGAACATGTCACAAAATCGCTTGCAATGTGGCAGGTGCATACACTCCTTATGTTCTCTCAAATTTCAACCTCCTTGTCTCTTTTTCCTCTTCCCAAATTTACTTCACTGGATTATACTCCCTAAATAGCATCTCCAAACCCTAGCCTTTCGGATTACTGCTTATACTCTTACCACCTCTACCAATACGGGAAAGGGATCGACAACTGCATCTCTGTGCTAATGTGGTGTGGCAACTCGGAATAGTGTACGTACGTACGAAGTTCTACGTTGTTACTGACTGACTGGTATGTGGTCTGAAATGTTAGCTGGGTGTTAATGTACTGGCGGACTCAATGCCGATGGTGAGGTTCGTCGTTCATGGTAGGTCTTACTGCGGTCTGAGCGACCGCAACTGTCCTCGCACCTTACATATATTTTGTGGCCTTATATATAAACCGGCTAGACAACATTACTTGCTGGTCGACCAAAACGTCCCGTCAGCCTTTTGCTAATAAATTTGCTTGTGATACATATACACAGGATGTTTTCTTTTAACTAAACATCGCTGTACAAAGTTTATGACACCACTACTAGCCATTCCCTTAGGTGAAAACGACGATTTCCCCGGGTCAGAGTACTCAATGCACTGCGTTCAGCGGGCTTCTGGTGTCACGGCACGTAGCCGGAAGCAGATGGTGTCTCTAAGACAGGAACTTCGGTGGGCAGATATATTGTACAGACAACGTTCGGTTCTATTGGGTTGACTGCTTCGAAGTGCACATGCTCTAATTAGGTTACATCGTACCTATTTTATATATACATGAAATCATATTGATATAACATACATCAGTAGTGTTTCTGATGTGATAAGGTGTTTTAGGTGGAGCGCTAATATATCAGCCCCTAATGCTACGACGATGTTTTGGTGTTGTTCCGGACTGATGAGTTCGGATAGCCGACCGTATTTGAGTCTCAAGATACTTGCTAGTAGGTGCTAATCCAACTAGTAAGCAGTATGTATTTACACTACAGTTACCGATTATCAAGTTACGATATGTTAAGCAGACATACAAGCGTTTCAGTATGATTGATAGCCTAAAAGAATCAGGAGAATAACGGCTGACCCTAACAGTCATACTTGGCATGAACACGAGAAAATAGTTGGAAAAGAAAAATCACACTAAATGTCTTAATTTAGAATTAATCTGTAGTAAAATATGAAAGATTGTGAGGTTAGTTGTTATTTTCAAAAGGTATCACCAATTTTTTTGCCGAAATGTCTGGAATTGAAATCATATCACAAGAACATCTCCCACACATTTTGAACAAGAAAACAATTCCAGATTATGCTTTCGTTTTCCAGTAGACTGAAATAATTCAAGTGTTTTCAAAAGTAAATCATCAGTTTCAGTTGTTTCTAGAGGAGGTACTGTAGACAGGGCGGTTGTTGAAGCATCAAATACAGTTGATGTGGTGGAAAACATACGATCGTATTTAAGAATATTCTTATTATTGACTCTTGTCAGAACCTATAAAAATGAACATCAAAATACTATACATAATTATCAATCAAACTTTGTTTCAGTAAATTGAAAATCTAAGTGGTACAAAGCCGGAGACTATGTGTATGACACTTATTTGTTTGTTTGTCACTGCCATATCAATGAGTTGCGCTGGAGTTTTCAATCAACTTTAAATAAGAGAATATTTGGGTTATTGCTTGTCGAGTAGTCCGTCAGTATCAGTTGTAACGAAATAAATATACGGTAACCATCACCTGTTTGCTAGTGTACTGCAATTGAGAAAACTAAGGCTAATTTTCTTTGCAAACTTAAGAAAGGCGTCTAAATTAGCATACAAAAACGATGCTTAACTGACAAGGTACCTCACAAGTGATCAGTGTGATTATCTCTGAGTCAATGTTGACCTGTCGAATGCAATTTCCAGTACTTTATCACATTTAAACTACCAAACTTCTGTTTTGTCGCAGGTTTTATCTTAACTTTTTCAAAACATCGTCACTCATTTGAGCTTCGAGAGTCATTAGGGTTGGGACTGATGACCAAGAAATTAGATCTATGCTATCATTTTACTACTGATTAACATCTTAATAACTAGACTAAATAAACACAAAATACACGAAGCTAGAGGGATTACATATGTAAGAAAAATGACAGTGAAACAGCAAAAAGACTCATCAATTTTACTATACTAGTTAGGGTAGATAAAGCATATTCCACACAAGAAATGCTGAGACAGTACACTGTTCGAGTAAGAAAACCGACAAAACACAATTGTTGAAATACGACATAACACTATATAAATGGCCTCGTCAAGAACTAAATAATTTCCTGTGCTGAAAGAATTTCACCGTATTTCCTAGGTTACATCAACTAAAAGTTGTAGTAGGAATCTGATAATTAGTTGACAATGATCTGTGTTGGACTATGCTAATTTAATATTGCTGTGGACAACCTTTCACTGAATGCAGACAACTCTGATTTCAAATAAGTGGGTCAAACGATACGAGCATATTCTATGATTGACAGTGGTGGTAATGTTTTCTTAACATCCGGAGTTTTATAGTGGGCGAATAAATGTCAGTGGCACCGTAGCAATGTATTATTTCATTAAACCTAGCATTAATTGGATCGAGACAACTTAAGTACTTCTCTCTGTCGCCTTTTACAACACTAACATATAAAGTTGCACACGGGAATGCTGAACTAGGTTGGAACGCTTTACATCATCATAGGGAAAAGAGATCAACTGGAACGGAAGGATATTGAAAGGAATGAAAACAATATGAGCCAAGAAGGAAAAGCAGACACAGAGTAAAATGTTCAAACAGACTGTGAGTGTGGTTACGCCACTGCGGTCGACCGAGAGACATCACATAAAGTTTCGAATTATTGATTTATGCTACTTTGAGGATCTCCTTATAGAAGGCTCGCACTTGTCAACTAAACTAACAGTGACGTATGACATAGCTAGATAATGGTTCTGTAAGACGTCATACACAAGTACATGAATGATTACTATTAATTAAATTTCCATATTCATCTAATATGTACGAAATAAGGCAATGGATAAATAATTACTTAGAGGTTAAAATATTAATCAACTAATGCATTTTCCCAACCTCTCTATTTTGGGGAAACCGCTATAGAAAACTTTGGGGAAATGGCACAAAAACCAGAAAATTTCTCCAGGTCTGGGGAAAATCCCCAAAGTCTCCTCAAAATAGGGAGATTGGGTTGCCATATTTGAAAACCAATAAAACATAAGATGAGAGCGAAATCAACGTGTGATTTAGGTGTACAAGGAGTTTTCGGAATCTGAGAAATTTCTTCATTTATAAGTACCAAATACTTTGCTGGCTGATTTTAATTCTTACTAAAATATAAGTGCTTTGACTAAAGTTGGAAAACATTGCACTGAAATAAAGTACGAACACTTACATATTGTGCCAACTCTTCACCAACTGTATCTGAAGAGCATTGAATTGGTTGGATTCTAGCATTCGGTGATATCGCTAAAGCCAAATCAAAACATAGTGATGTCAAGCTTAGTGTACTACATGTCTGATTAATCGGTTTATTTAGTTTAATATCGTGTTTATTACAATAATCAGATAACAAAGGGATTGCTTGACTTAGATATCGACGTATCTGTGCACGTTCACCAAGAAGATGCGCCAGCGCGTGTCGAGCTAAATGTGCCTGATGCACTGACATGGTGGCATGTTTAGCTGCTTCACCCGCTACAGCACGACTAGCAATACATTTTGTCTGCCATACATCAGCTACAATTTCGGCTGTGTTGGCGGCTTCTTGTAGAACAGATTTCTGTTGGGCTAAACCTTCACTTTGACCACAAAGGTATGCATTACTACTGATTAAATCGATTAGCTGTTGAGCCACATTTAAATTACCAGACATAGCAGATACCAATAAGTTTTTTAAGTCGGCGTTAATCTGAAGAGAAATAAAGAATGGTGAACTATACAATAAAAAATCTTCATTACAAGTTAATGTACAAAAAAATTTGAAACACAACGGTTTAGGATTAAGTATTTCCCAATTTTATGGACAATAATAACGAGAACACCACTCAGCTCATAAACATGAGATAGTATCGTAGAGTAGCTTGTGTGAAAAGTATACTGCCGCAATCAACAAGAAAACAGTACTCCTGATTAGATGGAGGAGTATGTAACTTGTGGTAGATTGGTCTCACACTAGGCATCAAAACCAATGAGGTATACTGAGAAAGTTATTAGCAGATATCTATAATTTCTTTTAGGAGAGACGGGGACTGAATCTAACGAATGATATCCTAACTCCAAATCAGACTGGAATGTGATGAAAATCATCCTAACCTAAAAAAACTCAGTATCAATCCATGAGGCTAGTTAATAACTACCTGGAAAATGATTGCCGAAACAAGTGATATTCTACTGCAATTAATGTTGGAAACGGGTAATAATGTTGAATTTTAGATCCGTAGATTAAAACGCTGTTTACAGATTCTGAATTTCAATTCAAGTAATGATTAATCACGAAAACAGAAAAGTCGAACTAAAATCAGGTAATTTATATACCTCCTGACTTTGAGACTACTATTTGAATAAAATCAATTTACATAAACGAAACAATTGGGAACACTTGTTACATTTTTTCTACACGAAAAGATTTGGTTTTTTAAATAAAATACCATTAGCATTGATCAAATGCGTACTATAAAAAGTACAATTTGATCAAGTAAGTTTACCTCGAAATTCAATATTATTCTAATTGTACGCAGTAAGTATTCTTATATCTACACATATTCCCACTACAATTGATTGATTATTCGTGGAAACACTACATTAGAACACCAATTGAATAATCAATAGATACGAAAATAAATTTTACAGTCGTTGGTCATAAAAGCTAAGGTGCTCATTAAATTGTGGTCGCTAGTCTGGACTTCGTTTTGATATTGAGTGGTTGAAAGTAATAAATACAAAATTGTGGACCTAGATTTGGTGAAAGTTAAAACTTGTCAGGAAGGTGTACATGCAAATTTGAGCGAACCAGTGCTCCCTTTAAGATTCTTGGAAGGCATATTAACTCATACAACAATTCATTCGATCATTTAACTAACAAATCAGATCCACATTATTCATCTAATCACTCTTATCGTTTGATCTGTATGCCCGGAATATATTTTGTATCCGACGTGAAATATTGTGTTGTTAAATGAACCTAGTTCCACAACAGGATTTCTGAGAAAGTATACCAAATTAATCGAGGACCAATTTACCTTGGAACTATATGTATTTACAAACTAAGAATTCTAGATTTCAAAGAAAATAAGAAAATTGCTTACTCTCTGCTGTAATTCCAACGCCTTCTGAAGTGACTCTTTACTGTCATCCTTACCATCAGAAGAAGATAGATGTGAATTTTGATTGGTAGATGCTAAATTACGCTGAGCTCTGATTATATCTTCAATATTAAATATAATAGTATGATTACTATCTGTTTGAGCTTCTTTATCTACTTTCATTGTGGGACTACACAAAAGATGAGCTGAAGAATTCGATTTAGCGGGTAGTGTAGGATAAGCAGACACAATTGGTTTCAGGGTTTTAGGATGGTATACAAATGGTTTGGATGAAGTGGTTGATTGCCAACGAACTTGATCACGGACGACAACTTTATCACATGCTATCCACTCCGCAGGTTTGTTCGCTTTAGATGTAAGAGTACACGGTTTCGTAATCATTTCATTTTTCTTAGAATATTGTTTTGCCTTCCTTTTTGTCACTCGAAAGGGTAATGAAGTTGAGTTAAACTAAAAGGGTTGTATACCTAAAAGTATTGTGAGTTGGAAATAATATGTTGAGGTGCAGTTTATAGGATACAACGTTGCAGAATACATATTACTGACCGTATATATTACAAAACTATTTAGTATGCACAAAAAATATGGCGAGTAAAGCTGAGATACAAGACCTATTCCAATTAAGTCAATTTTACTATACAATTTCCCAAGACCCATAATTCCGGTACTAACCAAACAGTTAATTCTAGTTAGTGAAAATTTGATGTAATCTGATACTTGGAGATAGTGTTGTTTACGAAAGTGAAAGGACGAAAAACGAATGTCCGGCGCTTTAAACGGGTTGGTGGATATGGAGAATCTACCTACGGGAGTTGGAAAACCCTGACTCCAAACTAATGGTGCACTTGAGCTCCAGTGACCTAAAGGAACAAATAGTGTATGGACATATTGTTGGTCACCGACTAACATGGGATTGCATCTCCTGATGTGGCCCCACTGCCTTGTGGATTAGACTTTTAGGTCAAAGGCCCCGGGTGTGGTCCCCTAAGAAAACCACCTGCGTCGGTTCAGACACCCAGGCAGTATTACAGCCCTCACAGAAATCAATGATAACTGCTCAGCCAGTCAGTAACAACGTAGAACTTTGTACGTACGTACATCAGTTCGAGTTGCAACACCACATTAGCACAGAGATGTAGTTGTCGATCCAAATCCCGCAGCGGTAAAGGTAGTAAGAGTATAAGCATTAATCGGAAAGATTAGGGTTTGAAGATGTTATTCAAGGAGTATAATCCAGTGAAATGAATTTGCTACTGACCTCAACGTTATTGTGTGGCGTAAATCTATTTGGTGTACTCTTGTACCAATGCTTATGTGTTCAAATGAACAAATAAATAACTTCAAATGTAAATGTCAACTAGGTGTTTAGGTAACTGTATGAGACGCTCAAGGAAATACTTTGTATGGACTTATAGGCTTTCGGTAAGGACGAGGAAACAGCGATGTCTGGAGTCGAAGTGCTGGACCTCCTATTTGAGGAGGCACGATAACTGATTGGTCTTATGAATGATAATAGGAAGTTTATAGACCACTGCATTAAGCAGCTCGTGATCAATCAGAAATGCTAATAATGATTGCCAAGAGTGAAGAGGCTCAATATTTGAAAGAGTCAATACAACAACAGGTGACCGTCCTAGGCATTTTGTGGCGTCTTGTAAAAGCAACTAAAGTCCGACTACATTTCTTGCTAAGGGGAACAACTAACCTTGAACCTAGCTCAGTTAATCACGTTACAATGATCGGTTCATTTAACGTAGTTAAATTAATACGTTTAGAACAAATCCCTTGGTCAATAAATATAGACTCATTTGTTACATAATACAGTATAAATAAAATTTAACTAAGCACTCCAAAAGCAGGGACGGCCGTGACACTGAAAACTTATTGCAATACGATCCATTTGAGTACATGTTTGATTCACAAGCGAATGTCAGATAGCACACTGTGGATTAATGTCTCTGAAATTGGAGTTAGACAGAAATGGGTCGTGATTTGCATAAAGTTATAGAATATAGTCGCCATTATCCATGCTCGTGACTATTAAGTCCAGGACTCCGAGTCATTTAGACTATAAACTCAGGATCAAGGTCCTTACAATTTACTGAAGTGAATCCTTCAAATTCACCGAAACGGCTTACAGATCGAACATAAAACTTAGTTTTAATCTTCACACACCAGGTAAAAACAAACAAGCATCACTAATATAGTCTTGGACAAATGTCAGCTGGCCTAAATAAGCAGAATCTCCCTGTTTTCATAAAAACGAAAGCGAGAGCGCTTCGGAAAAGAACGAGCTCCACTTAACATTGGTCGTACTCAGGAAAAAGTAGATAATGGTTTTGCTGAATTATTTAAAATCATCCTTATGACAACCTGGAGACTAGATATACGACAGAAAAGTGTGACTATGTTACGAATGAAGTAAGATATTCACCACAAGAGTGAAGGAAACAGCAGTTGCACATCATGTATTCTATAATGACATTAATGGGAATTAAAACCCATTTATCAAAACACGTACATGGTTAATATTTTGACTGGGAACTTCTCACATATAGCGAAGTAAGTACCTATTGAATAAATGTTAATAAAGCAGTTAATCGAACACAGAGCTTTTCTCACCACCACTTCCATGTATCTCAACGGGAGTTAGTGGACCGTAAGTTGGAGTTTATGTAAACATCACAGATAAAGGCTGCGAAAAATGCTGACAAAATGATTCTGAAAGCAATCAGCGTCTGTCCACCAAGATTGATAAACTGATCGCAAACATTAAAAGCTCATCCATGGGTGTGAAGGACAGGTGCACCGACCACATAGACACTTCAAGTTTCGCATTCCTATTAAAAACACATGAGTTGCGTGCTTTTAAAGTTGCTTTGGAGGAGCTCAAGTTTCGTGATCAGTTCGTAAGTTGTAACAGATGTTTCAAAGAATTTTAGGTGGTCAGATTGTACGAGATCATATGTGATGATTCTCGTAAGTCAACCAAAGCACGTCAAGGTTATTTGCTGACGCCGAAACTGGCTACTACATATACTTTACCCAGAACTAAAAGTAAACTGGCTATCAGTAATTACCAATCCTACAGGACGGCTCAAAGTAAGTTCACGTTACAGTATTAATATATTTGTAGGTGTTCTGTGTTCATTGTCCCGAAGTGCAACCTGTTCAGAAAAAGAAATAGCTCACCCCATAGATGTTGCAAGCCATGCTTTCTTGCAAGATTCAAGAGATAAAGTCAATAAGCGTGGGTGGCGATCCAAAGAAATGGCGAGCTAAATGCACTTTAGATGTTTGATTAAATACCGATTTTTGTATTGATATTAGTTTGTGATAAACAACAATTATTTCTTGCTCATCATATTTTCAGCTCGCTTTGCAAGTGTTAACAGACGTAAGTTTTTCATTCCGATTATTCACAATATTGTTATACCGTTGGCATGTTATCAACCTTTTACATTACACTCAGGATTCATATGTTGGATGATTGCCATGACATTTGTTTGTTAACTAACGAGTAACTTTTTTTCTTTTTGTAGAACCTTGTGAATGACAGTTCAACGTCTACCTAACGTACTTCTCCGAAACATATAACCAGTTGACATGGTGAAGATTTGTAGCTCAGGTGGATGATTTTGATGGAGTTTTGTTCCGCGAGCTGGATGGTTTGGTCGTGGAGCTTCCATCGTCCTTCTGAACGACATCATCAGCACAAACTTCAGATCAAGTTCAATAAGAACCAATTACCGTCGAGGTGTACAGAACAAGCTATGAAACGCATACGGAGAAATTCGAACACTTCACTTCCATCTAAAGTTTGTGCTGATGTCGTTCAGAAGAACGACTAAACCATCCAGCTTAGAGAACAAAACTCCATCATATAACCAGTTATTAAGAAATGGAAAGGGTTGTGTTATAGATAATTTGTGATTTATCAAACTTTAATAAACATTTAAATGTGTGACGAACCAGTATTTTAATTACAGCGACAGACTGATTCTTATTACCGGCTGCAGTTAAATTGCTTTGGCACTTCATTTACTGTGCGAAATTGACAGGAAAAGATGGGATACATGAGTAGAAACGTTTAGGTACTTATTATTAAATCTCCAGGCTTTTCCGTGATATCTGTCGAGAATTAATGCATTAAAACGAGACATTTTGGATAATTTCACCGAAAATGAGAAGCCTTTGAGGTTTTATCAATAAATATAGACGGATTCCCCAAAGTGGAATAAAATTCTGGGGAATTATTTCGGAAAATCCCAAAGTTTTAGAGAAATATAGGGGAGAACACAAAATGTTGAGGGAATTTGCCAGATCTAGGGAAATTTCGGGGTTTTGGTGCTATTCCGTCACAATTTATGATAGCGGCTTCCCCAAAACGGGTCAAATTTCCCGAAATTAAGAGATTGAGGTGTCTGTCTTCAGTAATAAGGATAGGAGGTCTGTCAACCTATATTAATCCTTGCAGTTTGTAATACTGTGGAGGTCCGATCTCGTTTTGAATATATTAAGAGACGGTGCTGATATTACGTGTTCCGGTAGGGAATTCCAGTAATTCACTACTCGGTGCGAGAAACGGAACTCCAGACGTAAACGGTTTGATCTCGGTTTTTGAACTTTCTTCGAATGTCCTCTCAAATGATCGGTTCTAGACGGAAGCAAAACATAAGACATGTTAATACCAAGGTCATCGTTCAGTATACGATAGGCCAATATTAGATCACCCCGTATTCTACGGTAAGATAACGGAAATAAGTTAAAGTGTCTCAGTCTGTCTTCATAAGATAGGCCAGATAGACCTTGTACCATCTTAGTAGCGCGTCGTTGGACTCTTTCTAGCATATCTGCTTCATATTTGAAACAATGACACGCTGCTTGAATCCCGTATTCTAAATGTGGTCTGATACACTAACTCTGTTTAAAGAACCCTCTTAGGGGATACTAAAAATATCTACTGCAAACCAACAGTATTTGAGAAAAGATAACATGAATACCAATTCACCGGTCTTCATCAGAACATGTTTTGATTGCACAATATAAAATTAACAGCTTAAGCTGTTTGATTTATAGACTGGTGAATGTCAGTATATATACCGACAATTCAGTAGACTTGATCTCATGACTAGTTTCCATTGGGGCTACATCACATAAACTCCTACAATCAGTTAACAATATGTTATTTACCTTTAATATCCGACCCTCCCCCTTCAGGGGACCTTCAGATTCAAATGGTTCAAGTGGTTGTGGACGGAATAGAAGATTTCGCTTAACGGGCTTCCGTTTGTAGAAGCAGTGGATCACTTTTACCTTCATACAGGAACGTAGTTATATTAACGATAAAATAAGTAAAAGAAATTGGCAGATCTTAGTAAAATACTATCCGTAGTCAGTTTCAGTTTGGGAAGGACAGGAGGCTCGATGGCCTATGTTAGTCCTGGCAATGGTGGTCTCTCAGTTGATCCAACTTTCTTTTAAAAGAGTCGACGGATGGAGCCTCAACCACGTGCTAAGGTAATGAGTCCCACTCGTTGATGATTCGATGGGAAAGTCGATAGTCAGCTGACAAGTAATTTGTTCTCGGCTTGTGAACTTTTTTTGAGTGTCCTCGTAAATTCTCTGTTTTGGAAGACAAAAAAAATGAGGGCATGTTAGGTGCAAATTTATCACTAAGCAATTTGTAGACTGTAATGAAGTCGCCTCTAGTTCTGCGATATGACAACGGGAAAAGGTTCAGCTTGGCCAGTCGAGATTCATACGGAAGCTTCGCTATTCCGGGAACCAGCTTAGTCGCCGTTCTCTGAACCTTTTCCAGAAGCTCACTGTCTTTTTTTAAGCAGGAGCTAGCCGCTTGTATGCAGTACTCAAGTTTGGGACGAACGAACACTGTATACAAAGTCAAAAACGTCTTAGCGTCGACATGACTAAAAGCCCTACGTATTGACCATAACGTTCTAAAACTTTTGGCGGCTATTGCACGGCAGTGTGCAGTAGTCTTTAAGTCTTGACTAACGATAGCTCCTAAGTCATTATATGTCTGGACGACAGGTAGCTCAGTGTTATTCATCGTGTATGTATCTGTGCCTCGATGACCGATATGCATCACAACACACTTGGAAGTATTTATCGGCAACTGCCATGTTTGAGACCATTCAGATAACTTCTTGAAGTCATTTTGAAGTTCTAAGCTATCACTCTTACATCGTATCGTTTTCCATATCTTGACATCGTCAGCATATAGCAAGACCGATGATGATAGGAGACAAGGAAGGTCATTTACATACAAGAGGAATAGCACTGGCTCCAAAACTGTACCCGTGGGCACTCCACTAAGCACAGTTTCCCAGCTAGATAACTTTGAGTTCACCCGAACTCTTTGTTGACGCCCAACTAAGAAGTCTTTTATCCACACCAATAAATTGCCTCCAATCCCGACTTTTCTTAACTTATATAACAGCCGGTTGTGCGGAACTTTGTCAAAAACTTTGCTGAAATCAATGAAGGCGACATCTACAGGTAGCTTTTGGTCCTTAAGAGCGCACAAGCTTTCACGAGCAACTAATAAGTTAGTGAGACAAGAATAACCTATTCTGAAGCCGTGCTGCTTCTCCGAGAGGATCCGGTTTTTATCGAGATGCTTAAACAGCTCCTTCCGAATAATCTTTTCTAATATTTTAACAACCACACTAGTTAGGCTAACGGGGTGGTAGTTCTCAGGTTTTTGTTTCGTGCCTGTTTTGAAGACAGGACTTACTATGACGTTTATCCGATCTTTCGGTAAGCGACACTGCGTAACGGATAGGTTAAAGCATGTACTTATAGGGCTTGCAACGACGTTAGATAATTCCTTCAGTAGCCTAGGATGTAATTCACCGGGCCCCGTGGATTTACCTATGTCAAGCTCATTTAGCAGACCAAAGACATCGAGTTCTTTAATGGTCACGCTATCCAGTGTATGTGTGGGGGGATCTGTATACGCTGACGAGAAGGGCGCTTCTACGGTATACACGTTGCTAAAGTAGTTCGAGAACGCTTGAGCCTTACCAAAGTCGTCCCTCAGTAATAATGAAGCAGTACTGTCTCCCCATAGAGCAGGAATATTTCCTTTTCTCCTTGTCCTCTGGTTTATATAGGAATACAAGCGTTTAGGACATTCTATGGATTCCTTAACAAGTTTTTCTTCGTACAATTTTCTAGACTTACGGAGGGTCGAGCCACAAGTGTTCCGAGCTTTTCGATACTGAGATTTTGACTCATCAGTCCCCAGTAACCTAAATCTATCCCACATTTTCCTTTTCTTACGGAGAAGGATACGGACCTCCCTACTGAACCATGGTGATGAGTTTTTCGGCCTTTTTGGTATAGTCCGAGGGATGTGAGGTGTGGTAACTTTTAAGTATGAATTTCGAAATGCGTCCCAGGCCGTTTCAATGGAGGACTCTGGGTCCATTGTCCAATCTATTAACGATGCTGAGTGCATGATGTCTGGTATGTTTGCTTTCCAGACGTTGGGTCTGGACTGGACTGACGCGTCTTCATGACTGGCAGTTATATGGAAGTCGAAAGTTAATACTGCGTAGTCACTTTTACCTAGGGTGGCATATGATGGAGGTTCGCAACATCATCCTCATAGTGAGTCAGTATAAGATCTAATAAGGATGATTCAGTGTCCGGATCGTACCTTGTCGCTTCTTTCACATGTTGCATTAGAGCACATGTAATAACCCCATCAACTAGTTCCTGCTCGAAAGAATTCTCCGAAGATTTAGTTCGCAGATTTTCCCAGTCTCTTATAGGTGCATTAAAGTCTTCTAGGATTAGACATCGACCACTTTGGGACCAAGTATTGAGACTGCTTAGCAGGATCTCATTTGCCTCACGGCTCGGAATACAATAGACCAAACCAATCAGCAGCTCTTGTCCCTTGCATTTTAAGCGAAGACTAACTAATTCACACGTCCCACTCTCATGGGATACACTATCGATAATGGTAAATGGGATAGCATTCCTAATGAATAGAGCTACTCCCCCTCCTTTGCGCTTTTGTGTTCTGTCGGCCCTTACTAACGTAAAGCCCACGAAATCAAGTTCTATACTATCTATAGCCTGTGTCAGCCAGGTTTCTGTTACTGTGATTATATCTGGCTTTGTAGAGTCAATCTGTACACCTAGTTCCGATCGCTCATTAAGTAAGCTTCGTGCATTGGTGTAACAGACCCGAAGCCTATTTAAGTGTCTTCTGCTTCACCCAGAGTGGCTTCGGCATCATTCTCTGTCGAAGTCTTACAACCCGAAAATTTACAATTTTCAGGTAGTCTTTAATAATATTTAAAACAATTAGTCCCTTTGATAAATTTCGATAATGCAACAAGAATATGAAGTTTATCAGAATTATGTGGTATATTCGAGCAATGCATTTTGAACAATCTGATCACACATATGCTTGGTAAGACATTTTTACATGAAAAATAAAAGGTCAACTAGACAGGTTGGAGGTTAGCCGCAAAGAAAAATAAAGTACACAAAAGCAATGTGATAACCACTCCGGATAATAAATCAGTATTGCCAGGGTAGCCTAAGTGTAAGGACATATGTGGTGTTTGAATTGACTAATGATACCTTTGTACTTGTTGATTGCACGATTTCGAATCCCAAATACAATACATTCGTTTGTACTTGTGTCTTCTTAATTCAATTGGGTTATTTCTCGGACTCTTATTTCGTTCTATAATTCAAATAATTCGTAACATTATAACAAATTGTTTTTGAGCGCATAAATGGGGTTTCAATTTACGTATAGGCAAGGCTTCAATAAACCTTAGTATACGACGCTGAAGGCTATTGTATAACACTACAAATGCTGACTTGATGTCAACCTTATGACCAGTCTCAATCAAAGGTTTCGCAGTGGAAGATGATGTCTGTATATTCTGTGATCCTATTAGACCATTGGAATCCAGAGTGGCAATCTCATGGTTTCTGTGCAATTTAATATTGTTATTATTGTTTTGTCACGGCTTACCTTCGACCTGTCTAGTTGACCTTTTAATTTTCATACAAAAATGGGTCAATTATTATGTCGAGTTTCATCTTAAATTACTTCAAGAAATTCGCTTGAACTAGCTCAGCTGGCAGCGAATTCCAGCGTCTGACAACTCTTAACGAGTTGAGGTTGTGTCTACAGTCCGTTCTGCTGTGTTGTGTCTCCAAATTCCAGGCGTTAACCTTAAGATTTGTATTGAAACTAAGCTCAATAAGGTGTTTAAGGGGATTTCCAGAAGTGTCAAGGATTTTGTAAGCCATACGACTTTCACATCTAGGACGCCTGTACTCCGATGGGTATTGCTTCAGTGATTGGAGACACTCTTCATGACATTTAAATTTGAGTGCCCGAACTGATTTCGTGGCCTGTTTTTAGGTGAGTTCTAGAGTGTCCTTATCCTTTCGGAGTGAAGAAGGAAGTACTATGTTTTCTTACTCTAAGTGGGAATAATAAAACTGCAGAGGTTTATGTGGAAATTTCCTCCGTCGAACTGACCGAAAATGAGCTTCAACCTTATCAGTGCAATATTTACTCGGAAGGCATTTTTGTAAAAGTTAGCGTAAGACTTCAAATCGTAGGGTACCAGCACTCCCAAATCATTTTCAACTTCAGATGCTTCTGGAGAAGAACTCCCTAAGTTGTAACTATAGTCCGCAACATGTCTGAGATGAACTACTTTACACTTTGAAGTAATAAAGGCAAGTCCGTCATCATCTGCCCAACTTTGAAGTCGAGTCAGATCCTCCTGAACTGCCAGTTTATCCTTTTGGTTGCGCACCTCTCTCTCCAAAGTTTCACATCGTCAGCAAAAAGTAATAAGTCAGACGATACCTGCTATGGAAGATCGTTCGCATAAATCAAGGAAGGAGAGGCTCTCAA